ACATTTGCTGTCATGTTAAACTTATATTAAAGTTTTCTTTATTACCCATTTAAGCCGTCTCCAGCCATTATTTCAATTAATTGGCGTTTTTAAATTTTTCTATAAACAAAAAGAAAACATGCACTTTTCTCCCCCTCAAAAGTTTTTATAGGGATCATAACAGTAAGTTTGATGTTTTCTAAATGTAAATTTGCCCTAAAAGTAAGTATTTTTTTCGGGGTTAATTTCAAACTTTATTACTTTTATGTGTATCATCGAATTTGTTATAATTCAGCTTGTGTAATCCTATATTAATAAACAACTTTGGATGCTTTATGAATAATTAAATCTATGTTAGAAAGATATTTTTGAATTATTTCTTTTGGATGAGTATATTTTATGAAGTATTTGTATGATTAAGAGGAAGTGAATAAAAATTTTTTATTGTTGTGCTCTATTACGCATTTTAAAAATCATTGTTATTTAATTTCACGATAGTTAATTAACAGTCTCTGATTAATTCAGATTTTTTAAAATATAGAACAACTAGCGGAAGAAAATGAAAGAAAGAGGTTTCAGAAAAACTACAAAGACATGTTTTTCTGAAACAAAACATTCACACTATTAAACTATTTTTGTATTTACTTTTAAAATAAACTTAGATCACACACATACTGTATTGAATTCTTCTGAAAAGTGTTATTACTTTCTAAGTTATTATATAAAAGATCATCGGCATATTTTCCTTTAAAAAATTTTCAAATGTAAGTATTGGAATTTTATGGAAGAGCGAATCTGATAATTACCCTCAGAATAAATTGCAGTTATATATATTTTTACTAGAAACATTATTCTTTCAAAGTACGTGATAAAATACTTTATCAGCTGTTATTGTTTATAAAGCCAAGTTGTTAAAGCACACTAACATAAAGTTTTTCTACACAAACGCAGAAAATTCATATTTAGATGTGCTCTATTAAACAAAAGCAAATACCTGTAGAAGTGATTAACCTTTGTTTGAAATAATGAAATAAACAAGGGTGTTCTGTATTTAAAATACGGTATTCTGCAATGTAAAAAATTACTCTGATGTTATTAAGTTTAGTTACTTTTCTATATTTAATACTGATATTCTTCATTATTTAATTTAAGAATAAGCTATATCACAGTCAGGTCTTTCTTTTTTTCGCATTTAATTGCTAAATAAATAACAAACGTTTTCGATTTCTGACTAGAATTATTTAAGTAGATCTCCATCGATTTGCATCCATTGTTTCATTAATGTTCAATAATATATAATAATGCGATATTTAAAACTATTTTGATAAAGCTTCACACAACATAAATTAATTGATACATATTCAATAACAATTTTATGATATTCCTTCTGTGAGCGAAAATTTATATTTTCTTATTTTATATATAAAAACAGTTATAGCCCTCTGTGAAAACATTTTGCCCAAGGTGTGCAGCTGCAACGTAGCGTTTTGTTAAGGGCTTATATTATAAAGTTTCTCATTTGGTGAATAATAGGTGTTATATAAACGTGTAATTATAAATATATTTAAAAACTTTCTCTATTTTTCATAGCATTTTATAAATTTTTACTCGCTAGAAATGCCAAGAGGTAAGTTCTTGTACGTTAATGCTATCTCTTAGTATTAAGGTTAGGCTTAATAAAATATAACGAGGGTTTCCAGTCATGAGAAAACTTTAAGTTCAAAGAGCATTTACTAATACTAGTTGAATGACTTTTTTTCAATGAGTAGCTGATACGCAGAGTCGTGATTATAATAAGTAACGTAGTGATAGACCTATTAATTAGTATTAAATTAAATCAAAAGGTCGAGTTACAGTCAAAGTAATTACTTGTTTTTAATTTTAATTTTTACAAAGATTTGTTTATAATAATAACAATAGTATGACTTATAAGTTATAGTTACACTCAGTTACAACTTACACTTACAGCTCTAAATGACAATTTAATTTACCTTAAATTAGACAAGTAATAAGTATTAACAGCCATAATAACATTTATGGGGTTTTGAACTTGAGCCCATTTTACTTCACCATATAGTAATTTAAATTAATTTTGGTATGTGAATAATTTTATAAATCAACAAGCCCCTTGTTGTGTAAATGTTATATTATCTGAAATATAATGTTATATCACAGCAGACACATGAACTTGCTTTATTAAATTGTACCAAATAATGCACGAGTTTAAGAACTAATCAATGATCTTTAGGTTTTAATTATTCGTGTGAGTTTAGTACCTAAAAACATTCTTGCTTCATCTGTTTATTATAAACAGAGCAATAAATCTCTAAAAGACCATTTTTGTGCCATACAAATTAACATTCATTCATGATTGTGAAATATATTTGCTAGCAACTTGGGCTTTATATTGACATCAATCTGCTGTACTGAATCAGATTTTCTTGGGTTTATCTGTATAAATATTTCTTTAGTATTGCCATATATATATATATATATATAGGTAAATGGGCTATTTTAATTCGAAATTAATTATGTAAGTTATGCTTTTGTGCTTACCCGCGGGTTGAATTGGGATGTGTCTAAGTCTGAATGCAGATTAAAAAGTTTTTCACATTTAAGGACTGATTACCTATATTCAAAACTTCAAATGTGTTATATGAATATAATGACCAAAATGTTCTTTAGATTATATTGGGTCTTCAACCAGATATTTACAAGTTTGCATGATAGAACATGCAGATTTAAAATCATAATTTTCCAGCATTAAGACCAAAGTGCTGAATGAGATTAATGAACCTAAAAAAAATTCAAGCAAAGGCAAATAACGAACAGGACTACAACTGAGGTTAAATGAACAAAATAGTACAGTTTGTTTGTGTGCAGATAAGTTTGATTAATTTTGCATATAAAAAAAAATCATCAGATAGGAAAATTTAACCACAATGTTTACCCATGTATTATGATATGATGTGTGTGTGTGTGTGTATATATATATATATATTAATATTTTGATTATAGACCATGTGTTTCATAAATGAATGTGTTTGTTACATAGAATGACATTATTAATGTCAATTTAGCTTATACTTTTATTGTATTTATTAAGTTGCTGTTATACTAGTTTCTAGTGTATGTGTGACAAGTTTTATTAAGATAGGTATGTTTATAGCATTAATACTTAATATTTAGCACTGCCGTGTCGTAAGATGTTCACTGTAGAATCAATCACATGTAGATCCTGTAATTAATTTGTTTTTTCATCAACATTATACATTTTCAGAAAACGATTGTCATAAAATCCTTTTTTAAACAATTTGTTTTCATATAAACCTTCAGTGTATATTATGAAAAGCAAGCTCACCCTTCACATACACAAATTATTTTGGTTTGTGCTTACACCATTTAATTTTACTAGGCTTACAGAAAGTTTCACATTTCCAAGACTTCTCTTAAGCTTGTAAAATGCTGGCCTCCAATACTGCTGATGTCAGTTCTTTCCACAATAGGTCATATATTACATTGATTAGTGTCATGTAGAATAATCTGTCAGTCAAAATTATAATCAAACTGATTAATGTCACAGAAAAAAGTCAACTAACTGAAATTACTGTTTTTGGTTATCCTAACAAACTATGTAATTGAAATGTTGCCATTATGAACTCTCATTATTTTCGATTTAATTCAAGTATGTTCTGCTTAATTGAGTAGTGTCGCAACTCATGGAAATAATCAACTAATTGAAGTTAGTGTTTCTAACTATTGCTATTTTTGATTATCCAAGTCCCGTGTGAAAATAAAAATTGATTAATATATTTGCTTAATAAGCCTGACAATTAACAAATTACCAAATTCCACTAATCACCCAGCTCTACCTGGTATTGTCAAAAGCAGTTATAGATGGCTTAACATGTATTAGAAGCAAGTTTATCCCCAGCATTTTCACAGATAAGTGAAAACTATTTTCTTATAGTTAAATTGCTGTTTATTTTTATTGTTTGGTACTAGTGAGCCAGTAGTGGTACAGTTGTTCCAAGATTTTAAATAACATTTTTGTTAACATTTTATACCCCTTAGTAGGAAAGAATTTTTCTTTTGTTACTAATTCTATAATGGTTTAAACTTTTCATGTGGAAATGCAGCAAATTGTGGAATTAGTCTCCTGCCAAAATCTATACATACTTTAAGAAATCAATATTTTTCTGTAAATTTTTACACACGAAGATTTGTAAATTGGCATAAAAATTTCATAAACTAAGTTTTTCAAAGTTTTCTGATAGCTCACTTAATGTTAGTAATTTGATAAATTTTCTGTATATTGTTCTTAAAATTAAATCTCTGCATCTTTAGTAACTCTTCTGCCTTTTTCTATTCCAATATGAGTAAGTAAATTGTCTCAGAATAAATAATTTCTTATTTGTATTGCCTAGTTCCAGTTTCTATTACATTATTGTCAGATGTGTCAAGTTAACTTTGAATTAGGCAATTGACTGTACTTTCATTATTGTTAATAATTTGCAAGTGACAATGAATATCAAGTAAAGTTCTACTAATAGCATTGTTTCACTGTATGCATTAAGGATACATAAACATTAAAAAAGTGTACAGTGTCATCATAAGAATATATTTGTTCATTATGATTGAGAATGGCTTATTGTTGCAGGTCGTGGAGGAAAAAGTCACAAAGGAAAAACGCGACACTTCACTAGTCCAGAAGAACTTGAAGCTCATAAAAAAAAAACTGAAAGAGAGAAGCAGTGGCGAGTAGGTTCACATTGTTTATAACACAGTTTTCTTGTGTTTTGGGGGTGAACCAATAGAATGTACTTAAACTGAAAAGTTACACTTTTGTTAATTGTATTTTAATTTTTTGTATTTATCAATGAAGTAAAATCTAAATTCAAAAAGATAAGACATGACAAGCATTTTAGGTGATTTTTATGTTCTATCGATGCTTATTTGATGATAAATTAACTTAAAAATAAGTTTTAGTAACACTTATCGTACTACATTTGTCTATAACAAATATCTAGAAATATCTAGTTCAAGAATTATTTAATGATACAAATTATTTCTGTGGATCAATTTATATTCAGACTGGTTACAAATAAAATACTGCCCTTGGAGCATTTGAGTTTTTTTAACAAATTAATATTTATTTATAATGGAAAAAAAAGTAATCTTATTATAATTTTTTTTTCCAATTTAGGAGCAAAAAGGAGAACTAAGTAGCAGTGATAGTGAAGATGAAGGTGCCACTGGTAAAAATAAAGTCTCATCATCTGAATCAGAAGAAAGCAGTTCAGAAAATGAACAGGTGAAATTGCTGTACATTTATCATTGTTTTAACTTGTTCGAGTAAATTTCCTTATTATGGCTTTTATAGGTTTACTGTTCTAGAAGGGTTTCGAGTCAAATTATTGCAAAATATTTTTTCTGTAATGAAACGTATAGTATTTGGGGCATTAATTAAATGATATATTCTAAAATTAAAAATTTTTCTAGAAAAAGAATGTTTGAATGAGAACTTACACAAAGAAAGAAACAAAATGTAAGAAAATTCCTCTGATAGATTGTTTAGGTAGAGTATTCATGATGAAACTTTGTTGAATGGACAGCAACTGCCGGTTGCAGAAATACAAGTTTAGAGGACGATGTTTCAAAAGTCTTCCGCCTTTCGTCTTCAGGAAAGATCTGACTTTTGGACCTGAAGACGAAAGGCAGAAGACTTTTGAAACATCGTCCTCTACACTTGTATTCTTACAACAAGGCAGTTGCCGTCCGTTCAACAAAGTTTCATCAAGTTCACATGTAACAGGTATTCATTTTTTTGTGTGTGTGTGTGTGTTTTAAAGTTTCGATTTAGTAATAAAAAGAATGCTGTTTAACTCTTTAAGCATCTTATATTTCTACGTACAACTTTTGTTATGAGATGGACTCTTGCACCTATTTTAGCCATATGTCAGAATTAAACTGCTCTTCTAAAAACTGTTCAAGCATATCAACTAATGACTCAACTTTCAATGCTCCACAAAATGTGATGTTTCTAAAAGTTATAAACATCTTAGCATTATGTTTTGCATACATTTTTAAAATAATTATAGGCTTCTGAACATTACAATAAAAAATGAAGAGTGTTTGGGAAATATTTGTTACTTTAGTTTTGAAATTTCTTGGTGATCAACAAGAAATTTCTTTTATTTACTTATGTATAAAACTTTCTAAGGTGTTGTTTCACTGTAACTACATCTTTTTTGTGTGTATTTCTTTTTAAAATAACATACCTAATTCTTGTTTATGTACATAACTCACTGACATGGTGTGGTAGAAACCATTTAAGTTGAAGAAGTAAATTCAGTTGTTTTTTTTTCAACTGCCCATAGTGTTTGATTTCACATTTCCAAACAGTTTTAACTTAGTAGTAAAAGACTAGCATACAATATAAAAAGCATTCTGAAGCTTGTAAATGGTCTGTAAAATATTTGAAGGCCAATTGTTGTCTCACATTTCTTTAGTCATACCATAGTGCCCTCCCATTTCATGTGGCATTCAATTCCAATGATATTTATGCTGTCTCAACATTTATACTATATATATATATATATACCAAGTGACATAATGTCCATTTCATGAAGAAGGGTATAAAACATATTGAAATGTGAGGGTTAAAAGAAACCTATTTTGGTTTCTGCAAAGTACAAAGTTCAAGAACACATTGTTTGATCTGGAGTTTAAATTTCTCTTCTATTATTACAAATGTTTAAAGCCCAGGCACCATAAGCCAATTTAAAAAAATTGAATATGAATTTTGCAGTTCATATACATAAAATTTTTTTAAAATTACATCATTGAAAGTTTTTGTGGAGGGTCTGGGGTTTGAGATGTAACACCACTAGACATGCTTTGCATTTTCAGCTCTGTGTATGTTATAAAAATGACAGTAAGTCCTTTTTATTTGGTTTAAAGTGCCAGACAGTCCTTGTGGCTGTGGGTGCTGCTGGTTGGCTGCCCTCCCTCAAAAGTTCAAAATTAGGGATGGCCATACTTGAACCTAGGGTCTCTTACCTGACTGTTTTGTCCACATGTACATAAAGTGTCGTTGAGGTTGAAAATTCCAATTCCTGATAATTAAGCACTGGTTTTTGCACTTCACATAAAGCATATAGGAACATTATTTTCTTTTTACTGAAAAATAGAGTTAAAATTATATGTTTTTGCTGTGACAGCTAATTAAATTTTTCCTCATATTATTAGATACCTGTATTAAAATTTATCCTTGAAAATTTGATATTTCCTAGTGTAAATTACTGTTTTTTGTGTTTTTGGTTTTAAAATGTTAAACAATATAACATAGTTAATGCTCTTTATAATATTCAACAAGATTACTAAATCTGTTAGATCATTGGACTTCTTAACATTAATTTTCTTTTTTGACTCTGGTAATTTTACTAATTGAAAATCATGTATTCTTTTATGTTGAAATGACCCCTCAAAATTTGTGTATTAGATTTTAGGATAATATTTTAAATATGCTATTTGGCAGTTCTTTCTCTATACATATGTAAATATGGTTTATAAAATGAATAAATAATAATGAAATGTAACTGGAACAACAATAATTTTGATCCAACAAAATCTTAACTTTTATTTATTATAAACATACCATATGATTATTATGTATGTTTCACTAAATAACATGCTTTTTGCAGCATGTTTCAACAGTATGTGCTTATGTATTATTTACAACACAAAAATAACCAACTTCTTTTTTTCTTTAGTTTTGTGAAGCAACAAAATATTTAAATTATTAGGTTGTCAAGACATTAAT